CATAAAAGGGTCTTGAAACAAAGACCGGCTGAGTATTTTCTTCACCACCCGAATGATGGTGGGAAAATAATCAAGACCAATTTGTTTACACTGAACTTGACCTAGAGACCGAGCATAAATGTTATGTGAAGAAAAATGAGTGTGAGGGCGGTGAGAGTGATTAGATAAACGAAACTAAGAGGAAGAGGAAACCATTGAAAAAAGAAAGGCAGTCGATTCATGTTTTCACCTTTATTTCCTTTTGCCCTGGCCAATCTTAGGTGAGTCGAAATTGTTGCATATTCTTTGTATTGAACACTTTCCTCTTCGTTTTGCGTTTTGGCGTGGTGTGACTAACTGTGTAACAATGACTGATGACTGTGATATGCTAATTGATGTGAAAAGCATAAAATGGAAATAAGCAACAATCAAAAATTTGTTTTATAAATTTTAAATTGCATTTGGGGAGAAATTAACACTTTTGAAACGTTTTTTGTTCATTTTATAGCTAATAATTTTTGGTAAACAAAAATTTTCGGAGAAAAAGACACTAGACTACAAGAAACGAAGAAGATATTCGGGTTACTTCCAGCAAAATGACCTCTAGAAAGCGATTACCGAAAAAATAGAAATTTTCGAATTTTTTAGTATTTTGAATAAGTTCTGCTATAACTCAGGTATTTGGTCAAATATTTCGACATATCTCGCAGATTATAAGCAGTAGGTGCTCTGCCATCAAAATCAAGTTATTTTACTTAAATATACCGATTACCTAAAAAGTTATGACCTCCAGTACTTGATTACTAAATTTATAGCTGAAACTAAAAATTTTAGGTTACTGTACAATTTTCCGGATATCTCGATTAATCGTCGTAATATAGTAGCGTAACTTAAAGCGTGGAGAGACCAGGCATTCTTCCTTCTAAATCAAGTAGATTTTCTAAAAAACAACGATTACTTAAAAAGTTATGCACTCACGAACATGATTACCCAAAAATTAGCAGAATCTAAAAATTTTAGACATCTGTGTAATTTTTGCTATATCTTAGGTAGTTTATTAAAAATATAGATAATACTCAGGCCTTGTGAAAAATAGATGCTCTGCTTTCTAAATTAATTTATTTCACTAAATTATAACGGTTACTTAAAAAGTTATGGGCTCCCGAACATGATTACCAAAGCAGTAGGGTAAATTGAAATATTAAGTGTCTTGTACAATTTTGACAATATCTCGGGTATTTTGTTGGATATATCGAAATAAATTATAGATTATACAGAGGAAATGTCCTCCATCAAAGTCCTGTAGTATTTTTTTAATTGTACCAATTACTTTAAAAGTTATGTGCATTGGAATCCGATTATCAAAGAAATTGAAGAAATTATAATTTGCAGTCTCTTACCTAAATTTCGCGATATCTTAGGCGTTTAGTTGAACATATAAACATAACTCATAGGTAATAATTACTGAGGAATCCTCTTTCGAAAATAATTCGTTTCATTTAAATCTATCGATTACTCTAAAAGTTATGGCCTCTAGAACTCGATTACCAAATAAATTTAAGAAAGTACAATTTTCGCTCTATCATATATTTTTGTTGATATCTCTGTGATTTGAAATATTCGGATGAAACTTATGGGATATAAAGAGTAGATCCTTTTCTTTCAAAATAAAGTTATTTCAATAAAATCTAGCGATCCTTTTCGAAGTTATGGCCCCTAGGAACCGATTATCATAGAAATAGTACAAATTGCTATTTTCTCTCTTTTGTATATTTATATTTCTGCTGATATCTCGGGTATTTGCTGAAATATTTCGTTGAAACTTATGGAATATAGAGAGTGAATCTTCTGTTTTCAAGATCAAGTTAATTTACTTAAATCTACCAATTACTTCAGAAGTTATGGCCTCTAGCAACCGTTTACCAAATAAATAGAAAAAATCGAAATTTTCAATCTCTCCTATATTTTTGCTGATATCTCCGGTGTTTGTTAAAATAAGTAATTGAAACTTATGGAGTATAAAGAGTATATTTTCTTTTTTAAAGATCAAGATATTTTACTTAAATCTACCGATTACTTCAAAAGTTACGACTTTTAGTAATCGATTATTAAAGAAATGGAATAAATTTAAATTTTCACTCTTTCGTATATATTTGACGATATCTCTGGTGTTTGTTTAAATAAGTAATTGAAACCTGTTGAGTATAGAGAGTGGATCTCCTGCTGTCATGACGAAGTGAATTTACTTAAAAATACTGATTACTCTAAAAGTTTTGGTCTCTAGAAACCGATTACCAAAAAATAGGTGAAACGACTATTTTCACTCTCTCGTATATTTTTGCCTATATCTCGGGAAATTTATGAAATACTATCCTGCAATTTATGAAACGTAAAGAGTAGATCTTCTGCTTTCAAGATTAAGTTATTTTATTTTAATATGTCGATTATTCTTAAAGTTATGGCCTCTAGAAACCAATTACCAAAGAATTAGAACTAACTTGAATTTCATCTCTCTCGTATATTTTTGCTGATATCTCTGGTGTTTGTTTAAGTAAGTAACTGAGACTAATTGGACATCGAGAAAGGACCTGCAGATTTTGAAATCGGCTTATTTAACTTAAATGTACCGCTTTCTCAAAAAAGTTATGGCCTTTACAATGCAATTACCAAAAGGAGAGAAGAAACTGCAATTTTTCTTCTCTCGCATATTTATGCCGATATCTCGAGTATTTCTTTAAGTAAGTAAGTAATAAGTAAGCTTACGGAGCATAAAGAGTAGATCTTCTGCTTTCGATATCTAGTCATGTTATCAAAATCTACCAATTACTTCCAAAGTTATGGCCTCTAGAAAAATCTACCAATTACTTCCAAAGTTATGGCCTCTAGAAACTAATTACCAAAGAAATAGTTGAAATTGCAATTTTCCGTCTCTTTTATATTTTTGCCGATATTTCGGGTATTTGTTAATATAATTAATTGAAACTTATGGAATATGCAAATCAGGTCTTCTGCTTTCAAGATCAATTTATTTTACATCAATTTACCGATTACTTTAAAAATTATGCCTTTTACAATGCAATTACCAAAGAAAGAGAAGAAACTGCAATGTTTGTTCTATCTTATATTTATGCCGATAACTCTGGTATTTGTTAAGATATGTAATTGAAACTTACGGATCATACAGAGTAGGTCTTCTGCTTTCAAGACCTAGTTATTTTATCAGAATCTACCAACTACTTCCAAATTTATGGCCTCTAGTAATCGATTACCCAGATTTTTTGGAAATTGCAATTTTAAGTCTTTTGTATATTTCTGCCTATATGTCGGGTATACTTAATATATGTAATTGAAACTTATGGAATATGAAAATCAGGTCTTCTGCTTTCAAGATCAAGTTATTTTATTTCAATTTAACGGTTACTCTAAAAATTATGGCTTTTACAATGCAGTTACCAAAGAAAGAGAAGAAACTGCAATATTTCTTCTATCATATATTTGTGCCGATATATCTGGTATTTGTTAAGATATGTAATTGAAACTTACGGAGCATAAAGAGTAGGTCTTCTGCTTTCAAGATCTAGCTATTTTATCACAATCTACCAACTACTTCCATATTTATGGCCTCTAGAAATCGATTACCCAGATTTTCTAGAAATTGCAATTTTAAGTCTTTCGTATATTTTTGTTGATATCTCCGATACTTTTTCAATTAAGTGATAGAAACTTATGGTACGTTAAGACTAGATCTCCTATTTTCAATATAAATTTAATTTACTAAAACAAACCGATTACTTCCAAGGTTTAGGCCACTAAAAACCGATTACCCAGATTTTTTTTAAAAATTGTAATTTTAAGTCGTTCCTATATTTCTGCCGAAATCTCGGGCGTTCGTTTAGATATGTGATTGAAACTTATGAAATAAAGAGATCAGTTCTTCTGCTTTCAAGATCTAATCATTTTATCAAAATCTACCAACTACTTCCAAATTTATGGCCTCTAGTAATCGATTACCCAGATTTTTTTGGAAATTGCAATTTTAAGTTTTTCGTATATTTGTGCCGATATCTCGGGTATTTGTTGGGATAAGTAATTGAAACTTGTGGAATATAGAAATAAGATCCTTTGCTTTCCAGATCAAGTTATTTTATTTCAATATACCGATTACTCTAAAAATTATGGCTTTTCGAAACCGATTACCAAAGAAATAGAAGAAAATATAATTTTTGGTCTTTCGCATAATTTTTGCTATATTTTCCGTATTTTGGTAAATTTGTTTTTGAAACTTATAGGACAGCGAGATATAGATATTCTGCTCTCAAAATCATTTTATTTGATGAAAATAAACCGATAAATTACCGTGTTATGCCCTCTCGGAAAATGGTTACCAAAAAACTGCAAAAAGTTTCTACTCAAAAAAATCCTACCCTGCAGAAATTTCTTTTCGTTAGAAATAGTTTACCCTGGGAAACGATATCTTGAGTCCGGTAGTACCCAAAAAAAAAATTTTTAATTTAAAAAAAAGAGTTTTGTCTCTAAAAATAAATTTGATGATTTTTTTTATAAGTCACGCTTGCTTGTTATGACTCACTGGCCCGCCTCTGCAATGACCTATTTCGAATACAAAAAATTACCTAGAATTAAACAAAAAACACCATTTTATTTGTGAATTTGTTTAACAAACAATTTATTATCAATGTTAAAGCTTTAAGTCTCGCCATTCATCCATTCAGACATTGAGCGAGTCACTTCAGTTTGTGCTTCATTATTTGGGTTTTCAATTATCCCACATTGGAAAAAAATGAAAAAAATAAATAATTTAGTGCTAATTTTTAAATTCTTAAAATTTAAGAAAAAAATGTATTATGACTTTTTATTACGAATTTTAACAATAAAAAATATTTATTACGAATTTTAATAATAAAAAATATTTATTTTAATATTTTTTTTGGATTTTTTGTTTATTTCTTTTCACTGTCCCACTAAAAAAAATACTAATAATTATTTTCTCAAATAAAATTTCATTTCCAAATAATTACCGATGAATATCAACCACAATAACAGTAATAATAATATTAATTATATTAACAACAACAACGCCAGCATGGATAAGCCACGTAACAACACCAAACGGGTAGGTGGAGTGTTTTGTTTTCGAAGTTGCCTTTCCCCCTCCCCCTTTGTAATTCACATAGTTTCGCTAATTAAGCAAAAAAGTTTCCACACCTTCTCACCAAAAAAATTACCATTTTCAATTCCCCATTTTGACTTTTTGTTTTTCTCATTACTTTGTTTTATCGTTTCTATCATTCTTATCCTATCATTTTTCGATTAACTTCAAAATGTGACATACATGTCAACTAAGTAATCAGCAAAAAAAAAACACAAAACAATAACAAAAACTTTTAATTTTCTCCACCTCCAACTCCCACTCTTTCTCTCTCACTCTCTTTCTCTCTCCCCCGAATTGTTGTTACGATAAGAATAGTTTCTCGTTATCAATTGGTTTGGCCACTTCATTTCCATTGACTTGCCGCTGACAATTCAATGTCATGGAGGGGTTCTTTGCCCTTAACATTTTTTTATCAGTTAACTGGTGTTGTGGGAGTGGGAGAGTTGGAGAGGGAGGAGAGTTGAGGTGAGTTTACCTAATGGAGAGCAAGTAAAATAATCTGTTTTTGATATTTTACATTTTTGAGATATTTACACCTTTTTTGTTCACAGTTTTTTCTGAATTTTGCGCCTCAAAGTAGGCTATGCTTTAGGAGAATTTTGCAAACAGATTAGTCTATTATTTTTGTAAGTTTTAGTCCTTAATTTATGATTGCGAAAAAGCCTTCATGTTTAATTTTTTGAGAGGCAATTCGGCATTCTATGTTTTTTCTATGTTTCACAAAAGTCCTCAAGAGATATTCGGTGTTTCTTCACAGTCCTCAAATGACATGCTTTGTTTTATCGAAGACCTATATCTTCTATATTTCACTGAGGAAAATTAGGCATTCTATGTTTTTCTATGTTTCACAAAAGTTCTCAAGAAATATTCTGTGTTTCTTCAAAGTCCTTAAAAAACATGCTTTGTTTTATCGAAGGCCTACATCTTTTATATTTCGTAGGGGAAAAAAGGTCTCCCACGTTTCATCAACTGCCTCAAAAATATTGTATGTTTTAAATGTAGGCCTTAAAAATCTTAAAATATATTCTATATTTTATTGAAGGCGTTTTATACATTCTATGTTTTCATAAAATAGATTCTATATTTCTTAAAAATGCTTTAAAGACATTCTATGTTTCTTAGAAGTCCTTAAAATACATTCTATGTTTTGACCACGGCCTTAAAGGGCATTCTATGTTTCACAGAAAACCTTAATAGACTTTCTATGTTTTTAGATGTCCTCATAGAGGGCCTCGAAAATATTCTATGTTTTAAATATAAGACGTCTATGTTTTCTTAAAATAGTTTCTATGTTTCTTAAAAGATCTTTAAACCTATTCTATGTTTTTTAAGAGTTCTTAAAAGCCTTTCTATGTTTCACGACGGCCTTAAAAGGCATTCTATGTTTCACAGAATTTAATAGACATTCTATGTTTCTGAAAAGTCCTTAAAAGACATTCTATGTTTTCACCACGACCTTAAAAGTCATTCTATGTTTCACAGAAATCATTAATTGACATTCTATGTTTTTTGATATCCTCAGATACGGTCTAGTCTTCATAAAGACAGCTTACAAAACATTCTATGTTTTAAATGTGAGACTTCTAAGTTGCCTTAAATAGATTCTATGTTTCTTAAGAGATCTTAAAACACATTCTATGTTTTTTAAAAGTCCTTAAAAGGCATTCTATGTTTTCACGATGGCCATAAAAGGCATTCTATGTTTCACAGAAAACCTTAATTTTATGTTTTATTCTATTCTATGTTTTTACAAATCCTCATATACGGTCCGGTCTTCACAAAGTTCCATTAAAAACATTCTATGTTTTAAATATAGGACTTCTATGTTGCCTTAAATAGATTCTATGTTCTAAAAAGTTCAAAACAAAATTCTATGTATCTTAAAAGTCCTTAAAAGACATTCTATGTTTTCACCACGACCTTAAATGTCATTCTATGTTTCACAAAAAGCCTTAATAGATATTCTATGTTTTTAGATATCCCAATATACGGTCTGGTCTTCATTAAGACAGCTTACAAAACATTCTATATTTCATAGGTGGCCCAAAAAACATTCTATGTTTTAAATATACGACTTCTATGTTTCCTTACAATAGATTGGTCCTCAAAATACATTCTATGTTTTTTAAAAGTCCTTAAAATACATTCTATATTTCTCCACGGTCTTAAAAAGCATTCTATGTTCAGCAGAAAAATTTTAATAGACATTCTATGTTTTTCAAAATACGTTCTATGTTTTCACCACGTCCTTAGAAGTCATTCTATGTTTTAGATATTCTCAGATACGGTCTGGTCTTCATAAAGACAGCTTACAAAACATTCTATGTTTCGTAGAGGGCCCCAAAATCATTCTATGTTTTAAAGATAGGACTACTATATGCATTCTATATGTCATAAAAATCATAGAAATTCATTCTATGTTTTTTTCAGTAAGCGTTTAGTATATTCTATGTTTTAGAGAAAGTCCTAAAATACATTCTAGGTTTCATGGAAGACCTCAAAATGAGTCTATGTTTTCACGAATACCTTAAAAAAAATTCTATATTTCCTAAAGGGCCTTAAAATGATTCTATGTTTTAAATGTACAACTGTAAAGGCATTCTAAACATAGAACGTCTAAGAAAGCCTTCTATGAGTCATGGAATGCTTCTGGAAAACATAGAATGCCTTATGAAACATTTTATAAAAACATAGAATAAATTAAAAAAAAAAACATAGAATGCCCCACAAAGCTTTCTGCGCAGTTTAAAAGTCTATATATGGTTCTCTTAAAAACATAGAATGTCTCATATGACTCAACGTGTCTCAGATGACCCGATAAAAGGTCATCTTAAAAACATAGAACGGCTTAAAAAGGCTCTAGAACGTCTTCTGTAAAACATAGAATGCTTCTGGAAAACATAGAACGCTATATGATGCATTCTATAAAAACATAGAATGATTTTTTATAAAACATTTATAGGGTCCTCTTGAAAACATAGAACACTTTATAAGGCCTTTACTGAAACATAGAACGACTAAGGAGCTCTTCTGTGAGTCTTGCAATAATTCCGGAAAACGTAGAATGCCTTATGAAGCATCCTATAAAAACATAGAATGAGTTTTTAAAAAAACATAGAATGTCAATGATCATAGAACGATCCATATATCTTTTTAGGCAGTTTTCAGGCTTTATAGGGTCCTCTTGAAAACATAGAACGCGATATAAGGCCTTTAATACAACATAGAACGACTAAGGAGCCTTTCTGTCAGTCATACAACATAGAATGCCTTTTGAAGCATACTATAAAAACATAGAATTAGTTTTTATAAAACATAGAATATCTATGAGAGGCTTTATAGGGTCCTTTTGAAAACATAGAACGCCTTATAAGGCCGTTACTCAAACATAGAATGCCTAAGAAGGTTTTCTGCGACTCATATAATGTTTTTGGAAAACATAGAAAACATTATGAATCGTCCTATAAAAACATAGAATGAATTTTTATTAAACATAGAATATTTATAAACATAGAATACCCCAGATAACTTATTGTGTAGTTTAAAAAGGCTTTATATGGTTCTTTTGAAAACATAGAATGCCTAAGAAGGCTTTCTGCAACTCATATAATGTTTCTGGAAACCATAGAAAACATTATGAATCATCGTATAGAAATATAGAATGCGTTTTTACAACATAGAATGAATTTTTATAAAACATAGAATTATTTTTTATAAAACATAGAATTTCTAAAATTCCGGAATATCTTACACGAATCTCTATGTATCTGAGAAGACATTATAAGGTATTTTTGAAAACATAGAACGTCTTATAAGACCTTTACTAAAACATAGACTGTCTAAAAATGCCTTTTGCTAGTCGCAGAATGTTTCTGAACAATATAGAAAGCCTTATAAACTATCCCATAAAAACATAGAATGCATTTTCTAAAAAAATAAAGCATCCCATAAAAACATAGAATGAATTTAAAAAAACATAGAATGTCATAATCCCATAATTTTTATGAAATTTTGAAACCTTGCTTCTGAAAAACATAGAAAGCCTCATAAAGCATCCCATAAAAACACAGAATGCATTTTCTAAAAAAAACATAGCATTCTATGTTTTTTGAAAAAATTTAATCTTTAAATTTGTTGTAAAATCTGGAAATCTCTTTAAGTTTTTTAGGTTAATTTTCATTTATTGGGTAGCAGTATTTTAACACGTTCCAGAAAAACATACAACGAATTGTTCAAAAAACATAGAATATCATAATCCCATAATTTTTATAAAATTTTGAAACCTTGCTTCTGAAAAACATAGAAAGCCTCATAAATCATCCTATAAAAACATAGAATGCATTTTCTAAAAAAACATAGGATAGTTTTTTGAAAAAATTATAATCTTGAAATTTTTGTAAAATCTAGAAAGATTTTTAGGTTCAATTTCATTCTTTGGGTAGCAGTATTTTCACGCCATAAAGAGTATTCCATAAAAACATAGAATGAATTTTTAAAAAAACATAGAATGCCATAATCTATTATTTTTTTATAAAATATAGAAAACTTGCTTCTGAAAAACATAGAAAGTCTTATAAAGCATCCCATAAAATCATAGAATGCATTTTCAAAAAAAAACAGCATTCTATGTTTTTTGAAAAAATTATAATCTTGAAATTTTTGTAAAATCTAGAAATCTCTTTAAGTTTTTTAGGTCCAATTTCATTCTTTTGGGTAGCAGTATTTTGACGCCTTTCAAAGCATTCCATAAAAACATAGAATGCATTTTTATAGAACATAGAATGCCATAATCGAATATTTTTTGTAAAATCTAGAAAACTTGCTTTTGGAAAACATAGAAAGCCTCATAAAGCATCCCATAAAAACATAGAATGCATTTTCAAAAAAAAAAAAACATAGCATTCTATGTTTTTTAAAAAAAATTATAATCTTGAAATTTTTGTAAAATCTACAACGATTTTTAGGTCCAATTTCATTCTTTGGGTAGCAGTATCTTCATGTCTCCCTCTTAGGGGTAGTTCTCTTTGCCTTAAGCCAAAATAAAAATTCCTAAAAAATTCTAACCAAACTTTTTTTCAATATTTTTTTCAGAAACGTATTGACTTAAAACGTATACGCAAATACGCTGCCTATTATTGTCAATCGCCTTCGGCCCGCAGTCCATTTCACGGAGCTGGTACTTCGTCCCTGCATCTGACAACAATTAAACAGCAGGCCAACAGCAACAACAAGAGCGGTACAACAACAAAATCAAGAGGCAAAACCTATAATGAAATCTCAAGCCAATACGAGGCCCAGGGAATTTTAAGCAATCAAAAAGTGATTTGTAATCACCCGTTCCTGATTAAGTTCCAGTACACCGATGAGGATATAGACGGCTTCCAGGTGATCAATACAATGTCGAATCAAGCGAATGGAGAGAATGGAGATGCTGAGTGAGTATGAAATGGGGTTTTTCAAATTAGTTATGCAGATTTATATTCTCTTTCTCTCTTGCAGAGCCAAAAAGCCTTTAAGCCCCAATGGACCTGCTGCTGCCTGCAAACCCAAAATCCAACCCAAATACGATGTCCATCGTGATGTGATGACCCATGAGTTGGTCATCAAACAAACCGGTTACAATGCCCGCGATAAAAGTATACCCTATGGGCTGAAGACATGTTGGCAGAATTGGTCCTTTTGGTCCATGTTCGCCGGCATCATCCCCATTGTCCAATGGCTACCGAAATATTCGTTAAAACGTGATTTAATTGGTGATATTATAGCCGGTTTTACGGTTGCCATTATGCATATACCTCATGGCATGGCCTATGGTCTGTTGGCCGGTGTATCACCGGGTTCGGGCTTATATATGGCCATCTTTCCTACGCTAGTCTATATGATCTTGGGTACATCGAAACATATATCGATTGGAACATTTGCGGTGGCCAGTATGATGACGCTGAAAGTGGTGCAGTCATATGCCTCGGATGAACAGCAGTTGGCGGAGGGAGGAGAGGGTTTGATAACACCGTTGGAGGTGGTGACAACGTTGGCCTTTACCACGGGCATACTGCATGTGAGTTGGGCTAGGAATACAAGACATTGAAGGAGAATTTAAGGAGAAGCCCCAGAGCATATTTTTGGGAGGCCTTGGATTTTCGGGAAGCCTAGGATTTCTGGAGGGCCATGGAGTTGTGTTTTGTTTAGGCCTTAGATTCATTTTTCAGTAGGACCTTCAAGTCATTTGTGAAGGCAATTTTTAAGCCCTCTTTTAGGACTTTCAAGTCGATATTCTATATCGCAATTGGGCTTGGAATACAAGGTCTCATTCCATGCCGTTAAGGAGAAGCCCCAAACCATATTTTTGAAAAGCCTTGGATTTCTGGAGGGCCATGGACTTATTTTTCGTTTAGGCCTTAGATTCAGCTTTCAGTAGGACCTTGAAGTCATTTATGTAGGCCATTTGTAAGCCCTCTTTCAGGATCTTCAGGTCGATATTCTTTATCGCAATTGGGCTTGGAATACAAGGTCTAATTCCATGACTTTAAGGAGAAGCCCAAAAGCATATTTTTGGGAAGCCTTGAATTTCTGGAGTTTCATGGAGTTATTTTTCGCTTAGGCCTCAGATTCATATTTCAGTAGGGCCTTGAAGTCATTTTTGTAGGCCATTTTTAAGGCCTCTTTGAGGATCTTCAAGTCGATATTCTTTATCGCAATTGGGCTTGGAATACAAGGTCTAATTCCATGAATTTGAGGAGAAGCCCCAAACCAAAATTTTGGGCAGCCTTGGATTTCCGGAGGGTCATGGGGTTATTTTTCGTCTAGGCCTTAGATTCATATTTCCGTAGGCCTCTCAAGTCATTTGCGAAGGCAATTTTTTGATATTCTTTCAGGACCTTCAAGTCAATATTCTATATCGCAAGGGGGCCGATCTGGGTGACCTTTAAGTCGTTTATTTCGACGACGTCGATTTTGTCTTTTTCGATTACCTCAATAACGACTCAGTCATTTGTGTAAGCCATTTTAAAGCCCTCTTTCAGGACCTTTAGGTCGATATTCTACATCACAATTGGGCTTGGAATACAAGGTTTCATTCCATGACTTTTAGGAGAAGCCCCAAATCAATTTTTTGGGAAGCTTTGGATTTCTGGAGGGTCCTGGAGTTATTTTTCGTCTAGGCCTTAGATTCAGCTATCAGTAGAAACTAAAAGGACCTTCAAGTCGATATTCTATATCGCAATTGGGGTTGGAATACATGGTCTCATTCCATGCCTTTAAGGAGAAGCCCCAAACCAAATTTTTGTGATGCCTTGAATTTCCGAGGTTTTTATTTTCGTTTTGGCCTTAGACTTAGCTTTCAGTAGAAACTAAAAGTCATTTGTGAAGGCAATTTTTTGATATTCTTTCAGGACCTTCAAGTCAATATTCTATATCGCAATGGAATCGATCTGGGTGACCTTGAGTTTTTTTGGACGACATCAAGTTTGTCTTTTTCGATTACCTCAATGTCGACTTTCTGAAAGTCTTCCAAATTCGTTTTTTGGACGGTTTTATTTTTTTTTCTGGGAGACCATTTTTGTATCTCTCTGGATACTCCTGAAGTAATTTTCCTTTTGGACATCCATTTGTTATCCTGTTATTCAGGAGCACTTTAAAATCAATTTGTAAGGAGTCCTTAAGTGTCTTTCTGTGCGACCTTGAAGTCACTATTCTATATCGCAATGGGGCCGATCTGGGTGACCTTAAAATCATTTTGGACGACATCAAATTTGTCTTTTTCGACTACCTCAATATCGCCTTTCTGAAAGTCCTCCAAATTCGTTTTTTGGACGGTTTTATTTTTTTCCTGGGAGACCATTTATGTATCTCCCTGGATGCTCTTGAATTATTTTATCTGGACATCCATTTGCCTGTTATTCTGGAGGAATTTAAAATCATTTTGTAAGGCGTCTTTTAAGTGTCTTTCTGGTCGATATGGAAATAATCTTTGTAGGCGACCTCAATGCCACCCTTCTAGGAAATATTCAGTTAATTTTTAGGACTTTAAAATCATTTTGTAAGGCGTCATTTAAGTGTCTTTCTGGGCGGTAGGGAAATAATCTTTGTAAGCGACCTTTATGGCACCTTTCTAGGAAATTTGCAGTTCACTTTTAGGATGGCCTTAAAATTTTTTCTGGATGGCTTATCTTTAGGACGTCTTTAAGTCATCTTCCTAGACTTTAAGGACCATCCAGGATTTTCAATTCATTTTTTGCACAGTTTATAATCTTCCTGAAAGACCTTCAATTTATCTTCCTGGATGGTCGTAAAGTTCTTTTTCTGTACCTTCATTTGTCTTTCAGACTTGAAGACCTTAAACACACTTTTTGGACGGCTTAAAATCATTTTCAGGATCCTTAGGGAGAACCTTAAGGCCTTTTTGTTAGTCCACCTTTAAGTCGTCTTTCTAGGCCGCATGGAACTTGTCTGCGGGCAATGGAAACATCGTGCTTTCTAGCAGGACTTTAATGAATGGTCTGAATAGTCTTGAGACAATTTGTCTGACCATCCTACCACTTATTTTGGAGAATTTTCGAGTTTGTCTTTAAGGATAGAATTTCTGGACGGATTGATATTTGTCTTTTATTGGACCATTTAAATATTGCTTTTTTGAACGACTTTCAATTCACTTTTTGGGCGGTATTAAAATCTATCGGAAAGACCTTTAATTTGCCTCTTGACCGATGAAATTTACCTCTTGACAGATTCAAATGCTGCCTTTCGGGAAGACTTTCAGTTAATTTTTTTGAACGATCTTAAAATTCTTTCGGATGCCCTTTCATTTGCCCCTTACAGGCAGTTCTTGAAGTAATATTCCGCTACATCCATTTGTCAATTATTCTAGAGGACGTTAATCTCATTTTTTAGGGTATCTTTAAGTCGTCTTTTTGGACCCTTATAGAGGACCTTAATTGAATTTTGTTAGGCGACCTTAAAGCAGGTTTTTTGAGCGACATCAAATTTGTATTTTTGCCCGACTTAAATGCTATTTTTCTGAAAGACTTTCAGCTCTTTTTATGAGCGATCTTAAAATTCTTCTGGATGCCCTTGATTTATCCTTCAGGATGGCTTTTTGGCCGACATTAATTTTGCCTTTTTGGCCGACTCAAATGGTGCCTTTCGGGAAGACTTTCAGTTAATTTTTTTGAACGATCTTAAAATTCTTTCGGATGCCCTTTCATTTGCCCCTTACAGGCAGTTCTTGAAGTAATATTCCGCCACATCCATTTGTCTATAATTCTGGAGGACGTTAAACTCATTTTTGGGGTATCTTTAAGTCCTCTTTTTGGAACCTCATAGAGGACCTTAATTGAATTTTGCTAGTCGACCTTAAATCAGGCTTTTTGGGCCACATCTTAAATGTCTTTTTGGCCGACTCAAATGGTGCCTTTCTGGAAGACTTTGAGTTCATTGTATGGGTGATCTTAAAATTCTTCTGGATGCCCTTGATATATCCTTCAGGATGGCTTTTTGGATAGGTATAAATCGCTTTTTGGTCAGGTCATCTCTCTGAGCGACATTGAAATTTATTTTCCAGGATGGTCTTGAGGTTATCTTCAAGGGCGATATCCAAATCATTTCTCAGGATGGCCTTTAAGTCGATTTTTAGGATGAAGCTTTACCTGATTTTAATTGAGTTTGATGTAATTCTCTCTGAGCGACTTTGAAATTGGCTTTCCGAATCTTTTGGAAAAAGTCTTTTCCGATCATCCTAAAGTCTTCTTAATGAGCCTTTTTTTCTGGGCCACAAAAACCTTTTTTGGTGGAACCTAATGCCGCCTAAGTGGAAGATCCTTGATTTATCTTTGCGGAAGATGTCATTCATCATTTTTTAATCTTTCCTTAATTATCCTCGTGACATACCTACAGGTTGGCATAGAGAACGATTTTAATGTCGATTTTTTTAAGACCAAAGCTCGTTCATCTTGGCGACTGGATTACTTTAGCCGAACCTGAAGTTCTCTTTACAGACGACTTTTTAATGGCAGTTTTGGGTTAGCTTAAAATCATCTCCTTAAGCGATATTGAAATTGTCTTCCCGAACATTTTTCCAATGTCTTTCCGGACAACTTAAAACCTTTTTCTGGTCTGCCTGTAAATTGTCTACCACGATGCCTCTGAATTTGGCCATTGCTTGGCCATTTAAAGTCACATTTCCAGGCTATGGGGAAATGGGTTTTCTAAGCATCCGTAAAATGCTTCTTCTTTGGCAACCTGCAACCTGTCTTCCTAGACATCTTAAAAGAGACATTTCCTGAAGCTAAGGCGTTTTTAGATTTACCTGAAAGTCTTCATCCAGGATGCCGTTAAACTTGTTTTTCTGGGTTATTTCAATTTCACATTTCCAGGCTATGGAAAAATGGGTTTTCTAAGCATCCCAACCTCCAGGTTGGCATCCCAGACGAGATGGAATAGTCTTCGTGGACATTTCTAAAGATATTATTTTCTGAAGCTTCAAAGTCGTTTTCTCTGCTTTAATTGAAAGTCGTGTTCTAGGATGCCGATCAACTTGCCCTTCTGGGCCATTTCAACTCAAACTTCTAGGCCACGGAAAATGGGGTTTCTAGACACTATTGACATCTTATTTCTGGGCTTCCCAGGCAAGCTTGAAGAGGTCTTTACAGCCGATACTAAAGTAGTCCTTCTGTACGACCGCGAAATCGACTATTAGGACGATCCTAAAAGCGTAATTTTGAATGGCCTTGACATTTTTTGGGAGTATAAGTCAGACTTTTAAGGAATCACAATGAAAGACCTTCAAAAGGGTCCAAGAACCACTCTTGGTTTTTTTTATCTGAAAGGCCTTTAAGACACATTCTAAGTCAAGACCACCGCATTTCTAGACGACACTAAAGCGCTTTCCTGGACGACTTAAATTTTCATTTGAAGACATCCTCGAAAAACATACAACACTATTAATATTCTCCATTTATCTCCCTTTCCAGCTTGCCATGGGTTTCCTGCGGCTCGGTACCCTATCCTCACTGCTGAGTGATCCCCTGGTAAATGGTTTTACCACCGGTGCTGCATGTCATGTGGTGACAAGTCAATTGAAGGATGTCTTTGGGGTATCAGTTCCTCGGCATAAGGGTGCCTTTAAAATCATCTACACTCTGATTGATCTCTGTAAGGCCTTGCCTCGGACAAATGTGGCTGCGTTGATCTTTTGCCTTGGCATAATGGTCTTCATGACGATATGTAATGAAGTGGTGAAACCATGGTTGCGGAAACGTTGTCGCTTCCCCTTGCCAGCCGAATTGATTGCCGTCATTGGTGGTACTGTGATATCAATGCTCGTCGATGTCCAGGTGAAATATAACATCAAGCCAGTGGGTGATATTCCCGTGGGTTTGCCAATGCCAGTATTACCTCGCATGGATCTGGTGCCACATCTATTTGTGGACTCCATTGCCATTTCCATTGTAACGTATTCGATTGTCATGTCACTGGGCCTGACATTTGCCAAGAAACACTCGTACGAGGTGCGACCAAATCAGGAACTGTTTGCCATGGGTATAGGCAATATTGTGGGTGGTTTCTTTCAATGCATACCTCTGGCCTGTTCGTTGTCGAGATCTTTAATTCAAGAGCAGACAGGAGGTGCTAGCCAGCTGGCTTCGCTGGTGTCGGCTGGTATCATTTTGTGTACGCTGTTTTGGGCTGGCCCATTTTTCAGCTTTTTACCCAGGGTAAGTAGGGGAAGTGGGATATGGGGTGAAGATGGTTCTCTTTTCATAATTGTTATTTTATTGCAGTGTGTCCTGGCTGGTGTCATCATCGTTGCCCTGAAACCCATGTTTATGCAGGCCGGCGAACTGAAGAAATTCTCCAAACAGGGCAAACTGGAACTTTTGACATGGATTTCAACATTTTTGTGTGTGGTGCTAATTGACATTGATATTGGGTGAGTGGGAAGAGCTAGGAAATATTTTTCCAAAATCCTCGTTGGTGAATATTTTAAAAAAAATATTTTTTTTTAAAAAAATTTGTTTTGAAAAAAAAAAAATTTGTTTTGAAAAAAAAAATATTTTTTTAAATTCACGTTTGCCGAGTATTTTAAAAAATATTTTTAAAAAAATCCACGTTGGCAAATACTTTGAAAAAAAAAAAAAAAAAAACACAGCCATAATTTTTAATTTTTTTTTTTTAATTTGATTGAATGAAAGCAAAAAATGTCGGAAATAGCATCAAATTTTAGAATAAACTTAGATTTCTTCGAATTGGTCATCTTTGGCACGAATTATGGCCTTCAAACAACCAATGAAACGGTCACACGCTGCCAGAATGTTGCTCTGCGGTATTTTGGCCCATTTCCGGCGAAGCACTTGGTTGAAGTGATCGACACTTTGGTATTTTTTAGTGCCAACTGAGTGGCTTAGAAATAACAGCAGTATGAAGTTTGTTGTAGTTTTTGATATCACCCAGTATATTTTTAAAAGCCACATTGGTGAATACTTTGAAAAAATATTTTTTGTGAAAAAATATTTTTTTGAAAAAACCATTTTTTAAATATTTTCTTTTTTGAAAAAATATTTTTTTTGTAAAAATTTATTTTTTTAAATCCACGTTGGTGAATACTTTCAAAAATTTTTTTTTTGTGAAAACATATTTTTTTAAAAAATCCACGTTGGTGAATACTTTCAAAAAAATGTTTTAAGAAAAAATATTTTTTTTTAAATCCACGTTGGCAAATACTTTTAAAAAATATTTTCTTAAACATCCACGTTGGTGAAAGCTTCAAAAAAAACATATTTTTTTAAAAATCCACGTTGGTGAATAATTTTAAAAAATATTTTTTTTTTTAAATATATTTTTTTAAATCCACATTGGTGAATACTTTGAGAAAATTATATTTTTTTTTAAATCCACTTTGAAGAAATATTTTTTTTTAGAAAAGTATATTTTTTTAAAAATCCTCGTTGGCAAATACTTTTAAAAAATATTTTTTTAAACATCCACATTTTTTTTTTAAATATATTTTTTTTAATCCACGTTGGTGATCCACTTTGAAAAAAATATTTTTTTTGAAAAAATATAGTTTTTCAAAAATCCACGTTGGCGAATACATATAAAAAATATGTTTTTAAACATCCACGTTGGTGAAAAATTTGAAAAAATAATTTTTTTGAAAATAACATTTTTTTTTTGTAAAAATTTATTTTTTTTTAAAAATCCACGTTGGTGAATGCCTTCAAAATTTTTTTTTTTGAAAAAACATGTTTTTTTAAATCCACGTTGGTGAATACTTTGAAAAAAATATATTTTTTTAGATCCACTTTTTTAAAATCCACTTTTAAAAAATATTTTTTTTTAACATCCACGTTGGTGAAAACTTTGAAAAAATATATATTTTTTTAAAAATCCACGTTGGCGAATAAATTGAAAAAATATTTTTTTAAAAATCCACGTTGGCGAATAAATTGAAAAAATATTTTTTTAAAAATACATGTTGGCGAATAAATTGAAAAAATATTTTTTTTTAAAATCCACGTTGGCGAGTAAATTGAAAAAATATTTTTTTAAAAATCCACGTTGGCGAATAAATTGAAAAAATATTTTTTTAAAAATCCACGTTGGCGAATAAATTGAAAAAATATTTTTTTAAAAATCCACGTTGGCGAATAAATTGAAAAAATATTTTTTTAAAAATCCATGTTGGCGAATAAATTGAAAAAATATTTTTTTTTAAATCCACGTTGGCGAATAAATTGAAAAAATATTTTTTTAAAAATCCATGTTGGCGAATAAATTGAAAAAAATTTTTTTTTTTAAATCCACGTTGGCGAATAAATTGAAAAAATATTTTGTTAAAAATCCACGTTGGCGAATAAATTGAAAAAATATTTTTTTAAATATCCGCCTTGGTGAATATTTAAAAAAAAATATTTTTTAAAAAATCCTCGTTGGTGATTATTTTGAAAAAATATTTTTTTTAAAAATCCACGTTGGCGAATAAATTGAAAAATATTTTTTTAAAAATCCACGTTGGTGAATGTTTTGAAAAAATATTTTTAGAAATCCACGTTGGCGAATAAATTGAAAAAATATTTTTTTTGAAAAAATCCATGTTGGCGAATAAATTGAAAAAATTTTTTTTTAAAAATCCCTGTTGGCGAATAAATTGAAAAAAATTTTTTTTAAAAATCCACGTTGGCGAGTAAATTGAAAAAAATATTTTTTTTTTAAATCCACGTTGGCGAATAAATTGAAAAAATATTTTTTTTTTAAATCCACGTTGGCGAATAAATTGAAAAAATATTTTTTTAAAAATCCACGTTGGCGAATAAATTGAAAAAATATTTTTTTAAAATCCACGTTGGCGAATAAATTGAAAAAAATATTTTTCTTAAAAATCCACGTTGGCGAATAAATTAAAAAAATATTTTTTTAAAAATCCACGTTGGCGAATAAATTGAAAAAATATTTTTTTAAAAATCCACGTTGGCGAATAAATTGAAAAAATATTTTTTTAAAAATCCATGTTGGCGAATAAATTGAAAAAATATTTTTTTTAAATCCACGTTGGCGAATAAATTGAAAAAATATTTTTTTTAAAAATCCACGTTGGCGAGTAAATTGAAAAATATTTTTTTAAAAATCCACGTTGGCTAATAAATTGAAAAAATATTTTTTTAAAAATCCACGTTGGCGAATAAATTGAAAAACATATTTTTTTAGAAATCCACGTTGGCGAATAAATTGAAAAAATATTTTTTTTTAAAATCCACGTTGGCGAATAAATTGAAAAAATATTTTTTTTTTAAAATCCACGTTGGCGAATAAATTGAAAAAATATTTTTTTAAGAATCCACGTTGGCGAATATATTGAAAAAATATATTTTTTTTAAAAATCCACGTTGGCGAATAAATTGAAAAAATATTTTTTTAAAAATCCACGTTGGCGAATAAATTGAAAAAATATTTTTTTAAAAATCCACGTTGGCGAGTAAATTGAAAAAAATATTTTTTTAAAAATCCATGTTGGCGAATAAATTGAAAAAATATTTTTTTAAAAATCCACGTTGGCGAATAAGTTGAAAAAATATTTTTTTAAAAATCCACGTTGGTGAATGTTTTGAAAAAATATTTTTTAAAAATCCACGTTGGCGAATAAATTGAAAAAATATTTTTTAAAAATCCACGTTGGTGAATGTTTTGAAAAAATATTTTTTAAAAATCCACGTTGGCGAATAAATTGAAAATATATATTTTTAAAAGTCCACGTTGGCGAATAAATTAAAAAAATATATTTTAAAAAATCCACGTTAGTGAATAAATTGAAAAAAATATTTTTTTAAAAATCCACGTTGGCGAATAAATTAAAAAAATATTTTTTTTAATCCTCGTTGGTGAATGTTTTGAAAAAATATATATTTGTTTTTTGAAAAAATATATATTTTTTTTTTAAATTTGAAAATATATACTTTTTTTAAACTCCACTTTGAAAAAATGTATTTTTTTAATCCACGTTAGTTAATACTTTTAAAAAATATATTTTTTTTAAATCCACTTTGAAAAAATATATTTTTTTTTAAATCCAAGTTGGGAAATTTTTTTAAAAAATATTATTTTAAACAACCACTTTGGTATAAACTTTGAAAAACAATTTTTTTTTTGAAAAATATTTTTTTTTGAATTTTTTTTTTGAAAACTATTTTTTGTTTTGAAAAAAAATTTTTTTTGATTTTTTTTTAATCCACGTTGATGAAAACTTTGAAAAATATTTTTTTTAATTTTTTTAAACTTTTTTTTAAATATTTTTTTTTAATTCAAATAGTTTGTTTGTTTGGAAAAAATTTTTTTTAAGTATCCCTTTTTTCTAAATGTCACTAATTTGTCTCTTTCCTTTTTAGCCTCCTTATTGGTGTCTGTATCTCCCTCCTCTCGCTGTACATCAAGGGCCTCAAACCCTATTCTTGCCTGCTGGGCTATATACCCGAAGCCTCAGCTGTCTATGTGGATATGAATCATCATCGCAATGCCTTTGAGGTGCCCGAAACAAAGATATTCCGTTATGCTGGTTCATTGAATTTTGCCACCTCCATGTATTTCCGTAAGGCCCTGAACAAAGCCCTGGGCTTGGATGGTGATAAGGCCCGCCGAGCCTCCTATATGCCGTTGTCACAAAATGGCTCTGCAACAGCAGGAGCAGCAGCGGCAAATGGTGGCCTCAATTCCCTAAGCCAATTGAATTCCTCGTTCCGTTATTTGATATTGGATTTCAGTATGTTGGGTCACATCGATGTGGCCGGTTGTCGGACGCTGTCGGATGTTAAAAACGATTTGGAAAAACGTGGCGTGTGCACCTACATGGCTACGCCCACCGATCGGGTGTATGATTGTCTGGTCCATAGTATGGTGCTGGGCGAGGGCCCATTTGAAATTTTCCCCACCCTTCATGATGCTGTGGAATATGCCAATGCTTGTCGCCTGGCGTGATATTTAGATTATGTTAATACAGCTACTACTACTGGTATTAGTACAAGAAGAAAAGGCTTAGTAGATAAGGACAGGATGCAGGATGCGGACGGCGATAATGAGTCCTTGTTATGACAATTTTATTATTGTTTAGAAATAAGATTTTAGGTTAGTGAAAAAAAAAATCAAGAAAAGGAAACAATGCGTTCTAAAATATTGTAAATTTTCTTTGTAACGAAACATTTCAGAATTCCCAATTTGTGGAAGAAAAAAAAAAAATAACAACAAACGACAAAATCATCTCTTAATAAGAAAACAAAAAAAAAGAAGAACATAAAAGTGCCTGAAATAAAAGTTTGTAGGTTAGGTTTCATTTTGAAAAGAAATATTTGTATTTAAAAAAAATAATAATAATAAAATAAAATAAAAAATGAAAGAAATTTTAATTATATATTTTTATTTATAAATAATTGTTTGTATGTATGTAAATGTATTGAGAATATTTATAAGAAAAAGAAAAAGAAACAAAACAAAATTGTACAACCAACCATGTAAGCCTCTCACTATCAAAGAAAAACTGTTTAGATACCTCTAGCCAGAAGATTTCTTCTTTCGGGAAGTTGTAAAGTAAAATTTTGATTAATTGAAATACTAAAAAAGTTTATTCCAAGGTTCCTCTTAAAGCCCTGATAACCCTTGCTTCCCCTTTGCAAAGTTTGATAATAAAAGGCTTACGAAATACCATCTAAATTTACATATATTTTTTTATATATGTCCATAATGATTATTGTGAAATGATTTTGAAATATAATTAAAGTACTTAATTTTTCCAAAAAAAAAAATGTTTTTTTTTTTTATATTTGTATGTAAATAAGTAGGTATTTTCTATTTGTTAAACAAATTAAAATTCAGAGAAACAAAAAAACATTTTTTTGTAAATTATAAAAAGAAAATTGTATATATGATTCCCCATATTCCCTGAAATGTTAGTCAAGTAGACCCCCAAGGGTTTGGCGGGAAGATCTCCTCACAACCTCTCCCTCCTACCCTCTCAAAAAATATAATTCATAAAGTTGGGTTATGATAAAAATGCATTGCAGTATTTTGAAGAAAATAGTAATTGGTTTCAAAGCGGTTTGTTGCAATGTGATTTATTATTTTAAAATATATTTTGTTTTTTTTGAAAGCTCACCCTGTTGGCTTTCCATTAAGCCCTTGAATCGGTAAATAAATACCTAGAAAAGTTTTCTTAAACGAAAATTCACTTTTCTGTACTTAGAAATTCATGATCTTTATTAACTTTAAATAAATGTTAATTTGTTTGAGGATTTTGGGAATAGTTTCTACGAAAACTTTTCAATAGTCTCTTGACATTTCAAAAGCTGGTTAAGATACCTTTCCATAAAGCCCTTAATGAGTTAAATCGGCTAATAAATTCCTAGAAATGTTTTTCTAAACAAAAATTCACTTTTCTGTACTAAAAAGTGCAAGTACTTTCGTAACATTAAATAAATGTCAATTTGTTTGACGATTTTTTGAAAAGTTCCTATTAGGACTTGTCGAATATCATTTGACATATCAAAAGCTAGTTATATCGCCTTTCCATTAAGCCCTAAATGTCTTTGATCGGTTAATAAATACCTGGAAAAGTTTCCCTAAACGAAAAACACCCCTACTGTATTAAGAAATTCAAAAACATTAGTATCTTTAAAAAATGTTAATTTGTTTGACGATTTTTTGCAAAGTTCCTATTAGGACTTGTCGAATATCATTTGACATATCAAAAGCTAGTTATATCACCTTTCCATTAAGCCCTAAATGTCTTTGATCGGTTAATAAATACACAAAAAAGTATCCCTAAACGAAAAACACCTCTACTGTATTAAGAAATTCAAAAACGTTTGTATCTTTAAAAAATGGTAAATTGTTTGTGGATTTTTTGCAAAGTTCCTATGAGGATCTGTCGAATATCACTTGACATATCAAAAGCTAGTTATATCAACTCTCCATTAAGCCATTTATGGCTTGAATAGGCTTATAAATACCCAGAAAAGTTTCCCTAAACGAAAAAGACGTTTTCTGAATTAAGAAATTCAAGAAATTTAGTAACATTAAAAAAATGCTAATTGGTTTGAGGATTTTTTGTAAAGTTCTAATAAAGAATATCACTTGACATTTCAAAAGCTGGCTATGTCGCCTTTCCGTCGAGGGCCCAATGGGTTAATTCGATTAATAATTACCTGGAAAACTTTCCCTTAACGAAAAACACGTCTACTGTATTAAGAAATTCAAAAACGTTAGTATCTTTAAAAAATGTTAATTTGTTTTCAAATTTTTTACTAAGTTCCTAGAAAGACTTTTTAATAGTCTTTTGACATTTCAAAAGCCGGTTAAGTTACCTTTCCAATATGTTCTCAATGGTTCAAATCGGCTAATAAATACCCATTGAATTTTCTCCAAAGAAAAAAGCTCTGTCTGTATTAAGAAATTTTAAAACTTTCGTAACTTCAAACAAATATTAATTCGTTGTTCAATTCTTTAAAAAATATTTTGTTTTCATAATCCACGTTGTTGAGTTCTTAAGAAATCGCCATTGTTGAAGACATTGAAAAGATATTTTTATAAAAATCCACGTTGTTGAATATTTTAAAGAAATATTATAAAAAATTCAATTTGTTGAATTATTAAAAAAAAATATTTTTAAAAATCCTCATTGGTGAACATTTTAACAATTTTTTTTTTAAATCCTCATTGGTGAATATTTTGAAAATATTTTCATAAAAAATTCACGTTGATGAGTTCTTTAGCATATATTTCTTTAAAAAATCCACGTTGTTGAGTCCTTTTGAAAATATTTTTTAAAAAATCCACGTTGGTGAATAAATAGAAAAATTTTTTTTAAGAAATTTACGTTGGTGAATAAATTGAAAAAAATATTTTTTTAAAAAATCCACGTTGGTGAATAAATAGAAAAAATATTTTTTAAGAAATTTACGTTGGTGAATAAACTGCAAAAAATATTTGGAAAAATATTTTTTTTTTTCAAAAATCCACGTTGGTGAATAATTTGGAAAAATATTTTTTTTTTTTTCAAAAATCCACGTTTGTGAATAATTTGCAAAAATATTTTTTTTTTCAAAAATCCACGTTGGTGAATAATTTGGAAAAATAATTTTTTAAAAAATCCACGTTGGTGAATAAATTAAAAAATATATTTTTTTTTTAAATCCACGTTGGTGAATAAATTAAAAAAATATTTTTTTTTTAAAATCCACGTTGGTGAATAAATTAAAAAAATATTTTTTTTAAAAATCCACGTTGGTGAATAAATTGGAAAAATATTTTTTAAAAAATCCAAGTTGGTGAATAAATTGAAAAAAGTTTTTAAAAAATCCACGTTGGTGAATAAATTGCAAAAATATTTTTTTTAAAATCCACGTTGGTGAATATTTTAAAAAAATATTTTTTTAAAAAATCCACGTTGGTGAATAAATTGCAAAAACATTTTTTTAAAAAATCCACTTTGGTGAATAAATTGAAAAAATATTTTTTTTAAAAAATTCACCTTGATGAATATTTTGAAAATTTATTTTTGTAAAAATTTCAATATTTTTTAAAAAAGTCCACGCTGTTGAATATTTAAAAAAAAATATATTTTTTAAAAAATCCACGTTGGTGAATATTTTGAAAAAATATTTTTATAAAAATCCACGTTGTTGAAAAAATATTTTTGAGAAATCCCCGTCGTGGTATATAAAAAAAATATATATTGTTTTAAAAAAATCATCGTTGTTGATTTTATTAAAAAAAAATATTTAAAAAATCCACGTTTTTGATTTCTTTAAAAAAATATATGTTTTTTTAAATCCGCGTTGCTGAATATTTAAAAAAATATGTTTATAAAACTAAATTAAAATTCTCTATCCGTGTCTGTCAGTCTCTCTCTCTCACTCTCTTAAAGAGGCTTTTCAAGTTTGTTTCTTAAGTCTTTCGTAAAATGTTTAGGCCTCCCATTTTGACACCACACCAAATTGTCCCACAGCTGCCTGATGTCTATAATTAAACGTCAATTGTTATCAATGCTGTACGTTGGAGTTCCGGACATCACTGTGAGAATTTTCGATAACCAAGGTCAGTTATGTTAACTCAATATAACCTATTCATATGGATATCACAAAGAAAAAATTCCAGAAAAACTATTTCGAAATATGTTTGCCCATATTCTTGCGCTCTAAAAGCGATTTTGATGGGATATTTTTTTTCATATGTATGTAGAGGGTTCATGGCTTCATCAGTGAACAAAATCCATTGTCTGGCCTAAAACTCCACCTCCTTCTCCTCCTCCCCCGCCACACTGAGAATTTCTATGAATCCATGAGATATTTAACACTTTGGGGACATTTAGTGTGTGTTTTTTTTTCTCATCTCTACATATTTACTGTCAATATGTAATTTTAACACATTTCAAGAAAAACAATGGAGGAGGGGGTGGGGGTTCCTCCTGCCCCTCGAAATACTTCAGAAATAATAAGTCAACGTTTAGCTAATTTTCGGTAGTCATAGAAGGTTGTGTTTTTTTGTTTCTGTTGCTGATGATGACTGTGACAAAGTTTTTATTTTGATGGGAATTTTATTTTTTTGCCCAGCTTTAAGAGTTCTATGGAATTCCAGGTGTAGATAATTTTTTATCGTTATTTTCTGTTTAATTTGAAACAATTTAAATTTGAAATGTTAACATGGCAAATTAGTTACTACGTTTTGTGTGTGTTTTTTTTTTTTTAATCAATTAATTGCCAGCCATAAACATACATATATCAGTTCTGATGTCACGTCTGTTGGGGGCAATTAATTCCATATCATCATCAGTAAAAGGATTTTTATTTTGAAATTAATTCACCTTTTTTATGAGTAATTTAAAAAAAAAATGATTTTTTTCAAAATATTTATGTTATGGATTTTTTTTTTTTGGATTTTGGGAAAAACTGTTTGTATTTAAACATTACGCTTTAATTTTTTTCAAAAAAAAAAAAAAAATAATAATAATAATAATAATAAAATAATTTTTAATCCGTCCAGTAATCTTGGCCTCAATGTCAATTTGTAAAACTATTTTTTGTTCCTGCATAAATTCGATATAAAATTGAACATCTTTGTATATTCCGCTTAAAAGGCAAATATAAACGGTGAAGTTGGAGAATATTTTGAAAAAAAAAAAAATTTAAATCCACGATTTGGTAGAGCAAAAACGTGAATGTAGAAAAAATATTTTTTTTAAGTTCCAAGCAACGTGCACTTTTTAAAAAATATTTATCAACGTGGTTTTTTTTTGAAATTTTTTTTTAAAGTATTCACCAACGAAAATTCAAAAAAGAAAATATTTATTTTCAAAATATTCTCTAAAGCGAATTTTTTTATAAATCTTTTTCCAAAATATTTACCAACGTTGACTTTAAAAAAAATCAAAGAATTCACCAACGGGGATTTTTTAAAAAATATTTATTTTTAAAATATTCACCCACGTGGATTCTTTAAAATTTTTTTTTTTCAAAATAATAACCAACGTGGACTTTTTTTTAAAAAAATAGTATTTTTTCAAAGTATTGACCAACGTGGATTTTTTTCAAATTATTTTATTCAAAGTATTCACTACCGCGGATTTTTTAAAAAATATTTACTCAGAGTAATCACCAACGGGGATTTAAAAAAAAAATTATTTTCAAAATATTCACCCACGTGGATTCTGTAAAAAATATTTTTCCAAAATATTGACCAACGTGGATTTTTTAAAAAAAATATTTATTCAAGGGAATCACCAACGGGGATTTTAAAAAAAAATATTTATTCAAGGTAATCACCAACGGGGATTTTTTAAAAAATATTTATTTTCAAAATATTTACCCACGTGCATTTTTTAAAAAAATAATTTTCAAAATATTCACAAACGTTGACTTCTTTAAAAAATATTTTTTTTAAAATATTCACCAACGTGGACTTCTTTAAAAAATATTTTTTCAAAGTATTCACTACCGCGGATTTTTTAAAAAATATTTTTTCAAAGTAATCACCAACGAGGATTTAAAAAAAAAATAATTATTTTCCAAATATTCAACAACGTGGATTCTTTAAAAAAAAAAATAATTTTCAAAATATTAACCAACGTGGACTTCTTTAAAAAATATTTTGTTCAAAATTTTCACCAACGTGGACTTAAAATTTTTTTTCAAAGTATTGACCAACGTGGATTTTTTAAAAATATTTTTTTCGAAGTATTCGCGGATTTTTAAAAAAATATTTATTCAAAGTAGTCACCAACGGGGATTCTTTAAAAAAATAGTTTTCAAAATATTCACAAACGTTAACTTCTTTAAAAAATATTTTTTCAAAATTTTCACCAACGTGGATTTTTAAAAAAAAAATATTTTTTCCAAATCATTTTTTATTATTTTTTGGGGGGAAAATATATCATATAGTGTGATGCTCCCTTAATATTTAATGTTTTCTCCTCGACAGGCCAGTTATGGCCTTCTTCCTCTCCTTATCAAATACATTGTTTTTTTTTTCTTTTTGAGTTTCAATCTCTTTTTGTTAATTTTTTCAACTCTTTTTTTTTATTATTTTTTCTGGGGAAAAAATATCAAAAAGTGTAAAGCCCCCTTAATATGTGTATGTTTTTTTCTCCTCGAAATCCTAGTTATGTTGTGAAAAGGTCTCTCTACCTCCCTCTCCTTATCAATACATTATTTATTTCTTCTTTATGAATACCAATATCTTTTTCTCAATTTTTCCAAATCCTTTTTTTATTATTTTTTAAAAGAAAAAAAAAAAACATAGAGTGTAAAGCCCCCTTAATATTTATTTGTTTGGATTTTCTCCTCGAAATCCCAGTTATGTAGTGAGAAGATTTCTCTCTCACTCCCTCTCCTTATCAAACACCTTGTTTATTTCTTCTTTATGAATACCAATCTCTTTTTGTTACGGTATTGTAAGCCGTGGAGCTCTGAGTAATTACAAATACAGGTGGATGGGGGGAGAGAGGAGTGTGTATGTTTGTGTTTTTGGCTGGTTGGCTGGCTGGCTGGCTGGCCAGCAATACAAAGCCTCTCTTTGTTGGTAGAAATTATAAAAAACCCCAACGTCAAAGTGTTCCCAGTCTCAGTTCAACGACGGTATTGCAAGTAAACGAACGAACACGGTTTGACGACGACAAAACGTCTTCAAGTTAAAGCGCGGGCGCACAAATCGCAGACAAAGAAAACGGATAACTAAATTTTTTCGATTAAATAAAAACAGACGAAAAAAAGAAAAGAAAATAAAATAAATAAAAATTAATTTTTTTGGCATTAAAAATAAAACCGAAGGCGGTAGAAATTAACAGAAAAGCCAAAAAAATAAAATAAAAGGTGTGATTTTATTTAATTTTAAAGGAAAGACAAAACAATATTTTAAAGAAAAAATTGCAGCATTTTTTTTTTCAAAGCAAATATAAATTTTTATTTAAAGTCACCCTTGCCTCTATTTGTCTGGCAAAAATAAAAAAAATTGTCATGAACCTGCATGTTTTTGGTGTTGTGGTTGCTGCCGCTGCTGCTGTTGAACCTCCAATAAAATAGAAACAATTATGCAATAATTTGTTTGTTGTTGCTGCTGCAGCATGTTTTTGCTGGTGCTGCTGGTGTTGTTTGCGCTGGCCTGATGGAGGCTTTTGCAAGTGAATTTGAAAACAAGTTTTTGTTTAGTTTTGGTTTTTTTTTCTGTAAAATTGAATTGTAACCCAAATTCATAGAGTTTGCAATTAAATTAAAATTTGAAAAAAAACGGCAACGTAATCGATCGTATAGAATTTATGAACAGATTAGCAAAATCAAATTGAAACACAAAAAAAAAAAAAACAAAAACAAAAATTTAAACTAAAAAAAGAGAAAAAAACTAAACAAAATTAAATACAGTGGGACCAAGAAAACAAATAATTTTAAGTTTTTTTTCAATTTCTTTTTTTTTCAACGAAACAAGTGTCGCCAGCGGACAGAGGAATTATTTTTTCTGTAGAAAAAAGTGTCCTCAGGGACCTGAGCACATTTTTTGTCTATAGAAAAAAGTGTCCTCCCCCGACTGAGGAATTTTTATACCCTCTACCATAGTATGGAGGGTATATTAAGTTTGTCATTCCGTTTGTAACACCTCGAAATATACATTTTAGACCCCACAAAGTATTTATATTCTTGATCAGCATAAAATTCTATGTCGATTTTGCGATGTCCGTCCGTCTGTGGAAATCACTCTAGCTTCCGAACGAATTGAAGTAGATTGATAAAATTTTACTCAAACGTGTATTATGTCTGCAGGACTTTTGGTATTGAAAATGAGCCAAGTAGGTCTACGTTTTGGTATAGCCCCCATATAACGGTACCTCCGGATATTCCGTATTTTGATGATTTTAGTGACAATATTTATGGGAATTGTTTCAAATTTAGTATTTGAAGTTCGTAATGGATACTGCAGCCTAGGGCAGAAAAATTGTCTGTGCAGGTCCACGTCTTCGTATAGCCCCCATATAACGGTACCTCCCGATATTCCATATTATGATGATTTTAGCGACAGTATTCACCGGAATTGTTTCAAATTTGTTATTTGAAGTTCGCAATGGATACTACAGCTTCGGACGGAAAATTGTCTGTGCAGGTCCTCGTCTTCGTATTCGGTATTTTAATGATTTTAGCTACATTATTCATCGATTTTTTTTAAGTTTCGCTTTTGAATATATTAATGGCTTATGACAAAAGTAACGTATGCAGATGGACAGAAAAAAGTGTCGTCAGCGTCCTGAGAACATTTTTTTTATAGAAAAAAGTGTCCTCAGAACCAGAGACATTTTTTTTCTATAGAAAAAAGTATTCTCAGGGACTTAAGGATTTTTTTCTATAGAAAAAAGTATCCTCAGAGACCTGAGAACATTTTTTTCTATAGAAAAAAGTGTCCTCACGGACCTGAGAATTTTTTTTCTTTAAAAAAAAGTGTTCTCAGGACCTGAGAGATTTTTTTCCTATAGAAAAAAGTGTCCTTAGGGACTTTAGGAATATTTTAAAAATATTTTTTTCATAGTTCGAAGCCACGTAGATTAAAAAAAAATAGTTTTTTAATAGTATTTTTTTAACTGTTCACCAACGTTGATTTTTTTTTAAATATTTTTTTAAATAGTCACCAACCTGGATTTTTGTAAAATATATTATTTTTAAGTTTTTCATCAACGTGGATTTAAAAAAAATCAGAAACCATTTTTTAAAAATTTTTTTTTTAAATTTTTTTTTGAAATGTTCAACAACGTGGATTTTTTAAAAATATTTTTTTTAAATATTCAACAACCCGAATTTTCTAAAAAATATATTTTTTAAATATTCAATATTTTTGGCAACGAGGAGTTTTTAAAAAAAATATTGTTTAAATATTCACCAACGTGGATTTTTTTTAAAAATATTTTTTTTTAAATATTCACCAACGAAGATTTAAAAAAAATATATTTTTTTAAATATTCGTTTTTTTAAAATATTCACCATCGTGGATTTTTTAAAAAATATTTTTTTAAAATATTCACCATCGTGGATTTTTTAAAAAATATTTTTTGGAAGTTCGAATCAACGTGGATTTTAAAAAATTAAAAATTATATTTAAAAGTCCGAAGTAACGTGAATTTATTAATAAAATATTTTTTTTTTGAAGTTCGAATCAACGTGGATTTTAAAAAATTAAAAATTATTTTTAAAAGTCCGAAGTAACGTGAATTTATTAATAAAATATTTTTTTTTGAAGTGCGAATCAACGTGGATTTAAAAAAATTATATATTTTTAAAGTCCGAAGTAACGTGAATTCATTAATAAAATATTTTTAAAAATATTCACCAACGTGGATTCTATAAAAAAAGATTTTTTCTAAATATTTACCACCGTAGATTTTTCCAAAATATTTACCAATAAGAATTTTTAAACAAAATAAATTCGTGAATTTTTTAAGAAATAACGTGAATTTTTTAAGAAATATTTTTTTAACATTAACTGACGTGTATTTTTTAAATACTTTTGCCAAAATGGAATTTAAAAAAAAAATATATTGTTTCAAAGTATCATCCAACGTGGATTTTAAAACATATATATATATATATATATATATATATTTTTTTTTTTTAATATTTTAAAAAATATATTTTTTAACGTGGATTTTTTAAGTTTTTTTCAAAATATTCTCCACATATATTTTAAAAAAATATTTTTGTAAAGTATTAACCAACCTGGATTTTTATAAAAATATATATTTTTTTTATATTCACTAACGCGGATTTTCATTTTTTAATAGTCACTAACATGGATTTTTTAAAAAAATATTTTTTTTCACCAACTTGGTTCAAAACAAAAAAAAAAAAAAAAAAATAAATAAATAAAATATTCACCAACTTGGATTTAAAAAAAAATATTTTTTTTCGTAAATATTTTTGCCAACGTGGATTTTTTAAAAACTATTTTTTAAAATATTATTTTGGATTTTTTCAAAAAATTTTTTCAAACGTCTAGTTTTTCATTTGGTTCCCCTGTCTCTCTGTAATACAGGTTTAGTTTTTTTTTCAGTTTCATATTTTTGTCAAATTGCAATAACGAAAAAAAGAGCATAAACTTGTTTCGTTTTGTTTGTTTTTATTTTGCTTCAGACCATACATGTCAGCAGTAACTGTTCCGATACGGTCACACACTCGCGCATGGTGTGAGCAGTGAATTAAACAAAAAACAAAACAGAGGCAACAACAAAAACTTAAAAAAAGACAATTATTAAACAAATCGAACTTCAGAACAAAAAGCCACAAGACCAAGAGAATGGAGTATTGGACGGACGGACAGCCAACGACATTGGTCAAGAATCAGAATGGGTTTGTGGCTATTCAGTTGTTGTTGTTTTTGTTTTCTACCTTATGTGTTTGGAGGCTGGTACGAGCCTCCTTTCGCTTTTTTCCATCATTGTCAGCAACAACAACGACTGAGATTAAACAACGGTAGCAACAGCAACAATAACCGACAACGAATTCTGGCATCTAAATGCTACAGTGGGAGATTTCTCTTCCAATCAAATGAAAAAGAACACCTGCCGAAGCATTCTTTAATTTTTTAAAATGATTTTCTAATAAATAATTGAGAATCATATTTTAATTAAATTTATTTGCTTTTTTCTTCTATTTCTATGTGTCTAGTTGTCATTTGTAATTTGAGGCCAAAGGAGAGGGAAACCAATACCAGAGACTGAGAGTTTTGTGATCTCATATTTTGTCTTGTGTTGTGTTGTAATTTTGTACGATTGTCGTGTGTAACAAATTTCGTCTTCTCCGCTGCCGGTTAACTTTCGCTCTCTCTCTCTCCCTCGTCTATTCTGAATGTTTTGCTGAAGTTTGAGAGGTTTGAAATTGCAATACGTTGTACAGGTGGCCTCCTCTCTCAACCCTTCTCTTCGTGAGTGTCAGTGTAATATAAACAGCCGCCAAAATTGGTCGACTTACGAAAACATCGTTTGTAATCAGTGACCTCAGTGTAAGTACATACAAATACATACATATTTAATTTGAAACTATTAAAAAATAATATAAAAATATGTTTTTTCGCATCGAAAAAAGTGAAATAATATTTTTTTCGTATAGGGATATATTTGTAGTAATTTTTTGGGTAAATAAAAAATTAAAAAACAATTTTTTATAGAGAAAAAAAAATCGATAAACATTTTTTTCCCATAGAAAAAAAATCGTTAGAAAATTTATTTCGCATAGAAAAAAATCGTTAAATATATTTTTTTCGTATAGAAATACATTTGGAGTAAATTTTTGGGCAAATAAAAAATTCAAAAACAATTTTTTTATATAGAAAAAAAAAACGATAAACATTTTTTCGTATATAAAAAAATCGGTACAATTTTTTTCGTATAGAAAAAATCGTTAGAATTTTTTTTTCGCATAGAATAAATTAATTATATATTTTTTCGTATAGGGATACATTTGTAGTAATTTTTTTGGTAAATAAAAAAATTAAAAACAATTTTTTTTTACTGAGAAAAAAAAACGATAGACATTTTTTTCGTATATAAAAAATTGGTAAATTTTTTTTTCGCATAGAAAAAAATCGTTACAAATTTTTTTTCGCATAGAAAAAAATAAATATATTTTTTTCGTATAGGGATACATTGGTAGTAATTTTTTTGGGTAAATAAAAAATTCAAAAACCATTTTTTTATGGAGAAAAAAAACGATAAACATTTTTTTCGTATATAAAAAATGGGTACAATTTTTCGCATAGAAAAAATCGTTAGAAATTTTTTTCGTATAGAAAAAAATCGGTCGACATTTTTTTCGTATAGAAAAAAAATCAGTCGACATTTTTTTCGTATAGAAAAAAAATCAGTCGACATTTTTTTCGTATAGAAAAAAAATCAGTCGACATTTTTTTCGTATAGAAAAAAAATCGGTAGACATTTTTTTCGTATAGAAAAAAAATCGGTAGACATTTTTTTCGTATAGAAAAAAAATCAGTAGAAATGTTTTTCGTATAGAAAAAATTGTTAAAATTTTTCGTATAGAAAAAATCGTTATGAATTTTTCTCGTATAGAAAAAAATAGTTAGAAATTTTTATTTTAGAGAAAACCATTCGGCAACAATCCAAGTAGTTGGTTCCTTAAAAAAAAATAAATACTTTTTATAAAACCCTCGTTATTTTGCAAAATTGTGTTTTAAAATCCACTTTGTTGGGAGTCTTTAAAAATTATTTTTTCAAAAATATGAAAAAATATTTTTTCAAAAATATTAAAAACATATTTTTTTAGAAATATTAAAAAATATATTTTTCTAACAATTTTTTTCAAAGTTCGCCAAAAAATATTTTGTTGTTGCAAAATTTTTAGGCTTTATCCCTTTATTGTTGTTTTTATAAAAACAACGTTTGTTTATTAGTGGAGAACGATGGTAATGTTTACCAGGGGGTAAGGCAGGGAATACCTAGGTTTCGGAAAGAGCCACCAATCCTCATCAGTTCCCTTGTTTTTTGTCTGGGATATTCTCCCCAGAAGTTATTTTAAAAATAACTTCTATGACAAAAAACATTTTTTACCCAAGTGACGAGATCGTAAGCTCAATAGAAGAGGAACCAAAGAATTAAATAAAACTAAAATTCTTTTGGAAAGTCTTCTAAATCTTACAACCGCACTTATAAACATTTACATCTTTCTCCACTTGTTATGCTTTCGTTCAACCTGAACGAAGAAAAAGAAATTTTGCAACAACAAAATACTACGGTATCCCGAACAAACAAGCCACACTGTTCCAAAAAATATTTTTTCAAAAATATTTTTCACATTTCACATTATTTTATAATTTATTTAAATAATTTTTTTTTTAATATTATTTTTTTTAAAAAGAACCTATTTGTCTTTTTCTTCAACACACAATTTTCCCCTAAAAGTATGCTATACTACTTGTTAAATTCCTCCAAAAAGCCTCTCTCATTATTTGAAATGGTGCTTTTGACTTAAATCTTTTGTTTTCTAAGGGGAATATTTGTAAAATGAACATCTTTTCATTGGATTTGCAGTCTATGTTCGTATATTTAAATATATTTTGACTTGGGTTATGATTATTGAAACTGTTGACACTTTGTGGGGTAGGTTCCACATTACAAATGAGTCAGATATGGACTAACTTTGTGAAATATGTTGAAAAGTTCTTGAAGTACCAGATATATTGGACCACTTCATTTAATCCTGATAAAAATTCTTGGAAGTACACAACTTAGAGAACTTTCGAACTTGTATAACTTAGAGAACTATCTAACTTGTATTGTAATGTTTAATCAAAATATTGATATTTTGTGGGGCAAGTACCAGAAGGAGTGGGCCGTTATGTCACATCTTCACAGCCGATCTTGCGTTAGTAGATATATATTGGGTTGTGTGGAATTTGAAGAGAATCGGATGCTTATTTGGAATTTTATGAGTGTTTTGGTTATTCCAAATTTCGGACCCTTTGTGGGGCAGGTACCAGAAGGAATCGGCCGATGTGCGCCATTTTCGCTTATAGCCCATTTCATGAGCGTTTTGGTTATTACAAATTTTGACGACTTTGTGGGGGAGGTACCAGAAGGAGTGGTTCGATACATTCCGTATTTACACCAGATTTTGTATTAATGAACTTATTGAGACATGTGAAATTTGAAGAGAATCGGATGCTTATAGCCCATTTTATGAGCGTTTTGGTTATTCCAAATTTTGACCTCTTTGTGGGGGAGGTATCAGAAGAAGTAGGATGATGTCTACCACCTTCACACCAGATCTTGTGTTGATAGAAATATTGGGATGTGCCGAGTTTGAAAGCAATTGGATGCTCATTTCGCATTTTTTTGAGAGTTATAATTATTCAAAATTTTGACCCGTTGTGTGGGAAGTATTAGAAGGAGTGGGCCGACGTAAACCATCTTAACACCAAAACTTGGCTTTTTTAAAATATTGGAATGTGCGAAATTTGGAAAGAATGCTTATTTCGCATTTTATGAGCGTTTTGGTTATTCAAAATTTTAACCCCTATGTGGGGGAGTTACTACAATGAGTCCATTTTCAAATTTTGAGGCTGAGCATTATTTTTTCATAAACTATATTTAAATTTTTTGAAAAACATTTAATTTTTGCTAGTCCTTGTCGTGCACATCTACATTTGCTCAAAAGTATGCTTTAGTTTTTGTAAAGAGCGCCTCTCATTGTTTCATTTCACGTTCGTGTCTTAAGTCTTTTGTTTTTCAGAGGGAATGTTTGCATTTTTTGGGTTAAAAAACATAGATGTAATTTTGAAAATTTTTCAATGTTTACATTTAAATGTTAAAATTAAAAAATAAAAAAATAATAAAAATTAAAAAAAAAAATAAAAAAATAAATAAAATAAAATAAAATAAAATAAAATAAAATAAAAAAATAAAATAAAATAAAAAAATAATAAAAATAAAAAAATAATAAAAATTAAACAAATTTTAAAATAAATTAAATTTGCCAATTTAAAATTAAATTTTTCAATTTTTACATTTAAATGTTAACATTAAAAAATAAATAAAGAAAAAATAAAAAAAAATTAAAAAATAATAAAAATAAAAAAATAAAAATAACAAAAAAAAATATATATATAAAATAAAAAAATAATAAAAAAAATAATAAAAATTAAACAAATTTTAAAATAAATTAAATTTGCCTAAGACCAATTTTTATGACTTTGTCATCTCCTATGTGCGATTTTTCTAGATTTTACTTAGTTATACTTCTAAAGTTTTTTTTTTTAATTTTGATCTTCATTCAGTTTACCCTTTTTTATTTGCCATGAGTAATAGATTTCTCTTTTCCTATTAACTAAATCGCATTTTAAGTTCATTCTGAATCATCAATTTTTGTCAAGCATGAAATCATTCAGAATCATTTTCTTAAAATTTGTTTTTGCATTGCAAATTGCTGATGATGATTGTTGCGACTTTTTTGTGGTGCTCTAAAACATGTCATTTAAACATTGTTTTCAACCCAGCAAATATCTCTCAGCCCCGGGGAGATGTTTACCTACCACTGGTGGCATCGACATGAATAATGACTTGTATTGTTCAGGGCTTAATGGCCTGCGGAGGGGAGGCCTGGGGGGATGACGGAGGTATCACAACAATTTTTAACAATTGTTTTGATGCAAGTTTTTTTTTTTGCGGGTTTTTTACGACTCTTTTAGTTTAAAACAGGCAATAACAACGAAAAAGGTTTATTTTTTTCAGGGAGCATCATAAAAAATAATTTGCCATACAAAATAGAGTCATTCATCATCACCAGGTGTTAAGTCACATGAAGCAAAGAGTTTTTTAAATTTTCAGAATTTTTTTCAGGCTTCTGTGGAGAATATCCCACACATGTGTGGATATTTGAAAATAAATTTTTTTGACACCCACACAAAACCGCTTTATTACCTCCCCAAGAATATCATCAACCTCCAAAAAATAAAGAGCCAAACAAAGTGTCGTTTTGATAAAAAAAGGTGATTGTTCATTTTTTTAAAATATATTTATTTATTGGAAAACAAATCTCCGAGTCTGCCACCACCGACCACTGCTAATTGCCAGATATTTGTTGCTCAAAAAGCCAGAGCCATAAAGTACAAATATTTATTTATCCAAAATTTTTTGTATGCCTTGTCTTTTTTTTGGTTTGTGTGGTTGGTGGTGATATTTGTTATTGGCCGGTCTTAGTTTGATTGCTGTTCATGAATTTTTCATAGCCACATTAAGTACATTTAACCATGACCTACATTCCCTGGCAACAATAACAACAACAACGAAAAACACTACAAAACAATTCACACTACCTCCAAACATTCAAACAAAGAGAGAGACTTTGCCAAGCCAAGAAAACACCAGCCATCAAATGAATTTTAAAAGAAGAAGAAGTAGCCCACTAGACAAACAAACAAACCAGCAAACACCTCACAAACTCTTGTCAGCCATGAATGAATGAGAATGCCAGGCACAAAGCAGCCGA